CTTGGATCGCTGATTTTATAGTCAGTTTAACACTTAGGCTTTCGCGACCAATATCATCCATAATACAGTTTTTTTTGGGTTAGATCGCGTAGATATATAAATGTGTCGTTCAACGCGCCACCACCCGACACAGCCAACTAGTAATGTTTGTCACGTAAACAAAGCGTGCCAATTCGTTACTAGCACAGCACACTGGTGTGTTGGAGAGCAAAGCCACAACGTTTACAATCTGAGTACGACGTTTTGCCAGTAATTACAACCAGCTTCATCAGGCGACAGCCAGATTTGTGGAGAAATCCTCCTGTTTCGTTCCTTAAATAGAGGGGTAGATGTGATTACATCACTTGTGTGCTCTTCTTACGCGAAGTGGGGGAGGGGGATTAATTCATGCGTACAATGAATATAGGGATCCATTGCCGTTTGGATTATTTCTCTGTTAATCAACGTACATCATGCGTGCGTATTATGCAAGTCCATTGTTCTTGTACCTCCTGTCGAATGTGTGTACTAAAATATCTGTACCAACGGTAATCCCTATTGAAGAATGGTGACCTGTATAGGCATGCATTTAAACAATGTATTATTTTACGATTCGCTTCCAAGCAGCACTAAGTCTATAGATATTGAGAGGAATACAATTATTGTCATTTCTCTCAATTTCGATAAATGCTCTCATTAGTCTTGGCCAGTAGTAACTAGTTTTGCACAGAACTTCAACATTATCCAAATCAATCGAGTGTCCTTGTTGGCACGCGTTTACTGCCACTGCCGACAGTTGTATTTGTGGGTATTTAATATTTATTTGGTGTTCTTTTAGTCTCGTGCTGATCATTTTTCCTGTATGCCCAACATAACATTTGCCGCAAGTGCAGTTAATCCGGCACACACCATCTGCTGATATCTTCGGTAATACATCTTTTGTACCAGATATTAATTTCTGTATTTGATGTACCGTGCCGAATCTGACTCGGATGTTTTGTTTTGCAAAACATCTGGCTAGTTTATCAGTTACACCCACAATGTACGGTATTTTAATAGTTTTAACTACTTGTTCAGTTTCAACTCTTGTGCTATTTGATTTGGTTTTGGCATTTAATGCCTTGTTGATTTGTGCATCATTGTAACCGTTCAATTGCAGCTCTTTCTTAACATGTTTAATTTCGCTTCTCAGACAATCACCATCTGACACTTTCTTAGCCCAATGTATGAGCGTCTTGATGAGAGCGGAGTTCTGTGCAAAGTGATGGTGTGACTGCATTCAGAATGGCGTCAGTGTGCGTTTTCTTTCGATACACGCTGTGTATTATTAAATCCTTTATATTAAGTTCACTTGCTTGCTTGCTTGCGCGCTTACGACCGTGCAAATCTTTCGGTCGTTTTTTAACCCACTTCCCGTGATCCAATCGAGATGACATTTTTCACACAGACTCGTTGTGCGTGACAATTTATTTTCGTGAAATTTTTTTTCCATAACTTTACACTTTTTAGGAATTTTTTTAAATATTTAATTACCAATTGCTTAATGGTGGCAGGCAATCATCTGACCCATAGGTGGCAGCCAGAGGACGAGAGGACTCTAGCCGCCATGCATATAAAGGATTTATAGTGAAAAACTTTGTTTTTACGGGTTAATTTTTTTTACCATTTCGACCGCGCCCGAGCAGAATATCCAGAAATGGTAGAGTTTCCACTTCCATGGTGAACTGGATGGATGGGTTTTGCGAGTTGAGATGATTTAGAAATTCGTGTGGTCAGACCACCAATGTGTCATCCACATATCTAAACCAAGCAGAGGGTTTTAGTATGCTTGAAGCTATTGCTTTTGTTTCAAAATCTTCCATGTACAAATTCGCTATCACCGGAGACAAAGGAGAGCCCATTGCTGCTCCTGTTGAAAAGCATGCCTATGCAGGTCACCATAGAGATTATCTTTGGTTCGGCTATTTTAGTACACAATCGACAGGTGGTTCAAGAACAATGGGCTTGCATAATGCGCATGCGTAATGTACGTTTATTACAATATAAATAACTCAAACGGAAATGTATACCTATAGTCATTTATATGCTTTAATTAATCCCACCCCCACTTCGCGCAAGAAGAGCACACAAGTGATGTCATCACATCTACCCTTCTATTTAAGGAACGAACCAGGAGGGTTTCTCGACAACTCTGACTATCGCCTGATGAAGCTGGTTGTAATTACTGGCAAAACGTCATACTCAGATTGTTAATGTTGTGGCTTGGCTCTGCAACACACCGGTGTGCTGTACTAGTGTACTACACACTACACTCCACTATACACTACACTATACACTAGTGCTGTACTAGTAAACTACACTATACACTACACTATACACTACACTATACACTACAAGCTAGTGCTGTACTAGTGACGAATTGGCACGTTCTGTTTACGTGACAAACCTTACTAGTTGGCTGTGTCGGGTGGTGGCGGGTTTAACGACACATTTATATATTTACACGATCTAATTCAAAAAGCCTATATTATGGTTTCATAGTGCTGTGGGCAAAGCACATTAATTGTCTTACATTTCCCTCAATGGAAAGATCGCATCCATGTAAAAAATAATGTAAACATGTTTCCAGGCATTTATTTACCATACATTTACGCGTTAAACATGTATTCGAAATAACAGGCACATTTCCTTATATCTGAAAATAAATAGCAAAAATAAAGATATGAATGACAATAAAAACATATTTAAAGAATAATGGTAACATCATTGTGTTCCCGAAAGACGGTTTGTGGTTTCACTTCTCCGTGGGCTGTGCTCTAACACACGGGGAGAGTGACATGACACAGCACAGTTGGAATAACAATGAAGGAAAAATAATAACAAAATTAAACCTTCTTCTTGGTTCTTTCGGTAAAGTCACGTAGAAGGGAAATAATAAAATAATAAAAATTAAACATAATAAAATTAAATTCTCACGACGTTTCGGCCACAACGCAAGCAGCCGTCCTCAGGTGAAGAACAGGTCTGTCGGAAAGAGAGCGTGTGAATGAGCTCATTCAGACGCTCATTCTTCACCTGAGGACGGCTGCTTGCGTTGTGACCGAAACGTCGTGAGAATTATTTTATTACGTTTTATTTTTATTATTTTATTATTTCCCTTCTACGTGACTTTACCGAAAGAACCAAGAAGATGAATCCCTGCAGTCACGAAAGCTTTAAATCGAAACAAAATTAAAATTAAAACCGCATCAAGTGAAACATTTTCTTCACTTTACCCTGAAATACATGACAAAGGGAAATTATCATTCAAGTTATTTAAACAATCAACGTGGCCCTCATTCATCTTTGGACCAGAGACAGAATGGCAAAAATGAAAATAAAAATCCAGTTTCTGAGGTTCTATGCAATTAATTGACTCAACATTTTTTGTAGTCATCTTGGTCTCATAGATCACGGTTGTAGTCTAGCTGACTACAATGGTCATATATAAAGTTCACTCTTTGTTGTTAAATTTTGCCGTGAACAGCACTTATTTAAGACCAGTCGGTCTTCAACAGTGCATTGCATCATCTCATAACGTGATAGATTTTTGTCCGCATCTTCATTATGACTAATTAATTATGTCTCATCGCCGTCAGTCGTGGTTCTGTGGCTACCTTAGGAACGTGGACGCTTGCGCTAATCAGTTTCTACTGACTAAAAATAACAAAAACTTTGTCGACCAATGCTATTTAAATTTATTATTTTATTTCTATTATTATTTTTACCTACGTGACTTTACCGAAAAAAACCTAAGAGTATGAATCCTTGCAGTCAGGAAAGCTTCAAATCTAGAATTTCGTTAACAACATTACCACTGGTGCCTTGTGACCTTCGCAATACAGTCGTGAACCCACAATGTCAGACATAAATGGCCTAACACATCATTGTCACTGAGAGTCGGACGGGGTGGCTGGATTATTGGAGAGAATCCTTTATTTTCCGAATGTTTTTGGGCGACCGCCAAATTGAGACGTGTCACAATGTTGGTTTTGACCAAGGCTCTGTGGCATCGTCACTTAAATTGTGATGTTTCTTTCCCGACCCCCCTACCCCCCCAAAAGCTGCAATTTTGGGGAGAGAAAAAAATTATGCCAATCAAATTGTGGTAACATAAATTCACTGTGTTTTGTGTTTTAGCGTTGACATTAAACGCCTTTGCCCCGTCCATCCACAGCAAACAACCTGTCATCTTAACTCCACCCCACACAAGCACCAACGCTCAATTGAATAACAAAAAAAAACGTCTTCTGGACGTGGGACCACAACAACAACAAAACGACGCTCTCATTTACCACCGGTTTATACGATCTACCAAATTAAAAGCCGCTCGTATCGAGTCAACACGTGCAGCTAACGCACGCGCGCATTGCACCAATTTAATTTCATACAGCGCATAGGCTCACGGGGTCATGGTTGAGGGAGGGGGGGGGGCTCTGGAAGCGCGCGAGCGTTGACTCTTCGTCCGCCATCTTAGGCGAGGGTTCTAAAAAAATGTTTCCAAATATAAAGTCGGAAGGCGCGGCTCGCTTTCGTTTTAAGTCGGGCGAAGGTTGCCCACTGCCAAGTGACGGTGACGTCGCCTCGGTGCCTGTGCCAGGCCAGGTGCACTTTTGATGCCTTCACGTGAAGGTGGTCGGAAGGGCTCGGGACAGACCCAAGCAGGCGCCATGGGTCGGCTGACTGAAATGACCGCTAGCTGCCACCACCACCACCAGCAGCAGCTGTATTATCCCCTCACCGCTGTGGATATTTTATCCGCCCGGTGCTCCGTGCGTTGTTGTGAGGTTACACCCCAACACCACCACCACCACCACCCTCACCTAAGATGGCGACGGACAGCTACGGTGACGTCATCGCGGTTGAGTCTCGAGCTCCCGCGCATGCGCAGTGCGCGTCTTCGACGTTGGGGGGCGGGGCGGGGGGGGATAGGGGGGCGGGGTTAGGGGGGATAGGGGGATAGGGGGCGGGGTTAGGGGGGTGGGGTTCTTCTCCGCCATTTGTTTGCGCGCCCGAGTTGAGTGACCGCGTGCGGTGGGTGTCGCGGAGAAGGAGACGCAGTACGAAGAAATGTCGAGCCAAGGAGGAATTAAACCCGACGCGTTCGCTGAGGCCATACAGAGGGCCCGTCAGGTGATGCCGCAGCTGCACTTTGCAACGCAACGGGGTTTTTTGTGTGTGTTAATTTAGTGTTAAAATGTCAACGTTGGCCGTTTCGCCATGCGTCCCGTTGCCAGGGTGGCTCAGGCTTCAGGCCTAGGGTGAAGCCCGTGGGAGTAGGCCGCGGGCTTTATGTGTATTATTTTGACTTAAAACGTTAACGTTTTTATTTTTTTAAGTAAAAGTTAAGTTGTGTAATATGTTAAGCGTGCAATAGAGCAATGTAGTGATGTTAGGAGAGTATTGATGTTGGAAGCAGAAGCTTCCGTTTGAGTGGCACTAGGCCCACGTAGTAACAAACAAGGTTTCCTTTGTATTGTGCTTAAAGCTGGGTTTAATTCATTCCCTATGCTCGGTTTCATCGAAATACAGCTTCGTAACGTCGATTGGACACTAAACTTGCATTTCATAATCTGTTTTGCTTTGCCTATGAATTTTTCTTAACAAACACGGTGCATCTTGATAGGAAATACTCGAGTTAACAGAGTCCATTACATCTGATAGACGAGTTTTTTTTATACACTGGCCAAAATACCAGGTTACGTAAACTTTCTACTCTTTGGGTCTTTAGGTAAAGTCACGTACACTTTGTAATCAACGCATTCAGGATGCATTGATTCAACAGATTTCCAATTAGATGGTGAGGATGGTGCTTTGTGTAATCAACGTGAACATCGATTGGGCTTAAATTATTGTGGTTTTATCGAAGCAGAAAAGGGTGAAACAATGTTTGGTAAAATTATAGTCCCTTAAGAATGGGTCGTACTCAACACCAAACACACACACACGTCCAATTGTTTACACGACAAAATATATATGAAAACGTGGTCAACTCAGCACCAACGAATATATGAATACAATTGTCAAACATTAAAGATGCGTTACTTAGTTTCAAATGTTTTTGTTCAACTCCGTGCTATTTATTTAAAACTATAGTAAAATCCCCAAAGTTTCATGTTTCAATCGGTGTCGAATTGGGGGAAATTTAAGCGTGTTTTATGCAAGAGGTTAGATGGCATATTTACTGACCTTTCCAGTAAATGTGATGTTCTAATCTTTAACGTTCCATTTGCAAAACATACCAACGTATGATGCATTGAAAAGGTTTTGAAACGCCAGCTTTCCTCGTCTTTTATATTAATGAAATCCAAATGAGGTTTTTTTTCTGAAAAATTCGAATGGTGTGATTTAAAATTGATCAAAAATCGATTTAGAAAATGTCCCACAATGTCCAGACATTTAAATGATCTCGAGGGTAATTGCTTGAACACGGAATATTATTTTTTTAAATGCAGAGTATTTAAGTAAATTGGCAAGGCAGATAAATATTACTATTATATAATACACCATCAAGACCAAGATATAATTTCACTTCAATTAAATAATTCAGGATGGATTAATACATTAGTTTGTTCAGAAAGTGTTGAATATTATACAATAAAAAAAAATTTCCTTCAAAATCTTGTCCACTTAAGACCACGGAAATATGTAATACAATATTAATTTAGCAGTGTTAACTATGACCTTTGTAATCCGTTTGAGAGCCCATTTAGACTAGAATATGTTAAAGGGAGACCTGGAAAACTGTTTTATAGGATGTACATAGTATGTACTCTAATAAATGATCCATTTCCGTTTTTGCTTTGGGCCACGTGGTATTTTTTGCCAAAATTATTTTTGCCAAAATGAACCCTTCACCCAACAAGATTGTCAAAGATATACATATCAATGTATTGATCAACTTCTCACGGATGGCTTCAGACTTTTCATAACTAACATCAACATACGATATTTTTCTCATTGCTTTTGAGCTTTAAGTAGCAATACAATGCGTAGTAAATAAGATCACTCACATGCTGTCGTGCACGTGTGCTTCTGCAATGCGTTTGACGAATTGTCTTCACCACTGCAGTTGCAATGTAGCTTGCTTAAATTGTTAATTTTTATATCCGGATTCTTTATGCGCACAAAAAAGACAAGTGAAAGACAAACAGTGCATTCTTTTTTAAACGTATGCAGGTGAGGTTAGAAACCCAAGAGGCCTTGTATGAAACCCACACAAAAAATAATGTATACAAAACCGACTATTCAATCAATTAAACAAAGCATACTAATTACAATTAAACATGTTAAACTCAGTGTTAAAAAGGCCATGGTTATTATGTTTGTGTATATGTGTGTGAGAGGCCCTTTGCAATAGCTATTGTCGGTGATCTCTCTCACTATTTTATGAACGAAGTTATGTATTGTGACCCCATGTTGACATTTAACAGCTGACAATTTAGAATATAGATAACTTTGCCACCCTTTCGAAAGTCGAGTCTCCACTAAGGGAGACAAGGCATCCGTATTTAAAGTTTGTAAAATATTAAAGCACTACTTTGGCTGCATTTTTTATTTAAAAGGCAGTTGTAATGGCGAATAAGGAAGTTTCTAAGCAAAGGTGACTTTATGAAACTCTTCAAATCGGTGGCATGCATCCAAATAATTTGGTCAGGACACTAGCAAGATGAAACTTGCACCATGTATGTGCTTAATGTTTGACATAATTGTTAACAATGCACTATTTTGCATAGGTCTGGTGCAATTAAAACTTACACGCTTAATGGAGTGTCATACACAATAATGAGCATGGAGCAATTCACCATGCCTCGAGTTAATTAATTGTCGATTTAAAGCTTTCGTGACTGCAGGGATTCATCTTCTTGGTTCTTTTGGTAAAGTCACGTAGAAGGGAAATAATAAAATAATAACAATAAAACATAATAAAATGCAATTCTCACGACGTTTCGGCCACAACGCAAGCAGCCATCCTTGCGTTGTGGCCGAAACGTCGTGAGAATTGTATTTTATTATGTTTTATTTTTATTATTTTATTATTTCCCTTCTACGTGACTTTACCGAAAGAACCAAGACGATTAATTAATTGTATTGATGTATCTCTTTGATTTAGTTAAATGATCAGTTATTTTGTTCAGCATACAATTTACAGTCTGGTTTGTAATCTGTCTCGTTTGTACAGATTGTTTTAATCCACTTGCCTATATGCAGTAATAGCATATTATTTGAATATGAAATCTAAATATGTTTAGGTGACTATTACACTTGCAATTGGATGCATGGATATGTGCCATGAACCTTGGAAATAAATATTGATAGATTGGGGTCTCATTACACCCATATTGATTAATATCCCATTACATGCATTGTATGTATATCTGGTTTAATCTGCAATGTTTGAAGCAGCAAGTTAAGCCATTCATGTTTTAGTGAGGTATTATTGATCGTGTGTTTGTGTTGTGCCACTAATAGACAAAGTTATGTGCAATGTACTGAAATACAATGTTGGGGTTTCAGATTGCAGCAAAACTTGGAGTGGATCCTGGGACCGGACCTGCTATAATAACATCCCCAGGTATGTATGACACTAAAGCTACATGCAAGTTGAGCAGCTAAGGTTACACATAGTATGGTGTAGTGTACAGATTAAAGATAATGAATGGGCTTTGCCTGCTATCTTTAGGCTTTAGCATCACACTTAAAACAATATCAGAAAAATGAAGTTATGGAAACATATATTGCCATATTTTCACCCTGGAAAACATCCACAATCAATCATAGGCCTGGGATCAAAAACAAAATAATTGTAAATGTTTGCCCTGTAGGTTTTTGACACCCAAAATGGATAGTTTGGAATTTTGCACCCTCTGCTATGTCCAGATACAAACCCTCGTAGGTGGCGGTAAAAAATAATTAAATTAAAGTTCGCAATTTTGGCATACACATTTTTGGGAGTCCAAAATTTGGAATTCTTTTTTTTCGATCATTCTTGTTAACATCATTAATTGGATTTTATTAGCATGTACCTAAATAATTGGAATTATATATCAGTCACTCACGTGTTTGTATATATTTATTGATCCACGTGAATTTTGTGATGTATAATTCTTTAGCATTTTTAGACCAACCTTTCCATGCACAATTTGTATGGAACATGTTTAAATAGTATGAAGTATATTTTCAGTTGTAGATGTACGAATAATAACTGACCACTGGCTTTCAAAAGTAACATTAAATAATAAAAGACAAGGCCAGTCTGCCAAAGCATCCATTTATCCTTCGTCTCACTGACTTTAATTACTCTGTTGTATGCATTTTAATGTTCCAGACCATGTTTTTTAAATGTAATATTCATGCCGGGGCCTCACATTCACGGCGCAGCTACCATTTTACAAATTCCGGGCATATTAATTTTGATTTTGACTGTGTAAAAACTATGCCGGTGAGTTGGAGAGTGAAAAGGGGTTTTGTTCTCTTTGCTAACAAATTGCACGTAATTGGATGTTCCGGTTAGCCTTCGCTGTGAATGCACAGTCTGTTGGATCAAGTGAAATTGATTTGGACATGTTCTTAATAAATGATGTTTCTCAGGCGTACTATCTGTTAGGGCGTCTGCTCGAGGAATAGAGAGAAATACCAGCTCTTTTTTTTCATCTTTTCCGCCTCCTATCAAGCAAATAGCTCCACTCAGAGTAAGCTGGAAGTAACGTGCAAGCGAAACTCTGTGCTTTAGTGGCAGTGATAGTCACCCATAATACTTGTAATTTTCTCTGGCAAGCAATGGGAATCTGTCAGTAGGAAACAATGGAAAATGACTCCCTTGTCCTTCCATCTCGTCATTGGCGCTCGATGAGACCGGGAGTTTTTGCACCCAAACTCTTCCATTGGTACATGACACGCCATGAATGGGCCCCCATTAGGTGCAAGCTATACTCCTGGGACACGGTAGTCATTTAAGAAGGTCAAGGGGAAAGGAGAGCTTGATGTTTATTTATTTCATTTCTTTGTACTGCAGAATTATCTTAGATGGGCTGGCTGAATAACCCTCTTCGCCATCCAGAAAGAAAGTTTTGCGTCCCCCCCCCCATCACCCACCCCCACCAACTTCTCTCCCGCGCGCATGGTGTCGTATTTTTTGTATGAAGCATGCGTCTACTTCTCTTTGCAGTGAATCCGAATCCGCCCGGGGTGTCCTCTCTTGGGCTGGGTGCTCTCAAGAGGCCTCTGGAAGATGGCGGTGAGCTGGTCGCATTTATTTGATGAGCGGGCGATTGAAAGCACCCTGCTGTTGCACAGAGAAAGTATTGTTGTCGTTGGCCGCATGAGTGTCAAGGCAAATTATATGCATATGGCATTATCAATTCGTCAATTAAGACCAGTTCTCAATCACAAAGCATGTTTCGTTTGGTGAATCGATGTATTTTTGAGTTGTGCGCGTTAATGGTTATGATGGGGTGGAGGAGGTTTGAGTTGTGTGCGTGTTAATGATTGACGGGGTGGAGGAGTTGGCTGTGCTGTAATTTGCATGCTATGCTGTGAACATGGCGATCGATTTAAATTCCCAACCATGTCTATCAGGGCTCTACGTGCGCTCGGTGACAAAGGTTGGACGGCCTGTCACATACCGCTTGATCTAATTAAAAGTGAATGCTAAATAAAAAAGAAATCTGTCCATAATGACACACTTACGGTGTAAGTGTGCAAATTGATTTTTTTAACCACAGTGACATTTCCTTCATCCTGTTGAATATTGATTTTAGTTGCAAGTATTGAGCCACGACCATATGTTTTAGTCTTTGCATCAGTTAATAGTTTGTAGTGGCGATGCATTGCTTGAACTTGCTGGTGACAATGGTGGTAATCACTTTTTTGCATCGGCCAAATTCAATTTCTGTTTAAGACGGTCAGCTCAATTTCTTGGGTTAATAGGTTGGGGAGTGGGGTTGCCCGTATATAACATCTCAATGATAAAGCAAAATTAATCTTCAATTAGACTTTAGAATGGTGTAATGATGTGAGTGTTTCATCTGTTGTTATTTAATTTTGTTTATTTGAGGACATATTTGCATTCACTGACCCTCGGCAAGTGAGGATCGGCGAATAAATCAACATGGTCACGGAAAAGCGTTATTGGAGTTTGGTTCATCCACAATCTGGATAATCCACCCACGAATAAAGAGTTGTCTATCTTGGTCCAATAATGAAATGCATATTTCTTTGTCACTTGTCATTTAAACGATCTAATCTTGCTGTGTTATTTTACAGATCAACCGGAAAGTAAAAAGCTTGCTTCGCAGAATGACAGTGAGTGCCACGATTTGTAACAGTCCTTTAGAGCGTCGGAAGTGGGCCCTGTTGTTGCTTGTGTGGTAAACGAAGAGCGAGACTTAATGGTACAAGCGAACGAGAGATGTCTCGAGCAACTTTCAACGGGTCCCCATAATTCTGTTTATAGATTACATTTGCACCTCTCAACCGCAAATGAGTTTCCCTAAGCTAGGCCGCCACCCTTCTAAAACATCACTACAACTTTCGATTTAAAGCTTTCGTGACTGCAGGGATTCATATTCTTGGTTCTTTTGGTAAAGTCACGTAGAAGGGAAATAATAAAATAATACAAATAAAACAATAAACGTCGTAAGAATTTTATTGTTTTATTTTTATTATTTTCCTTCTTCGTGACTTTACCGAAAGAACCAAGAATATGAATCGGCACAACTCAACTATACATTGTATGGATTCACACCTGTAGATGCAATTGCAGCTGTGTGAGATTCTGTTTAAGTTAAATTTGCCTGAGCCAGTAAAACATTTAATCAGTGTCTGGGCTTTGTATATTCATGGATGTTTTTTTGTCTGCTTAAACTCGGCAGGCATCCGCACTGACTGAATTTCACAATTGAACATCGACTGCAGATAACGTTTATATTCCTTCATTCGTTTCTCAATCCGCTTGTCCTGGTGAGGGGTCACAGCGTCAGCGTTTTGAGTTGGGTGGTCCAGACTTCCCTTTCCACGGCTTCAGACTTTCGCTCTTCCTGGGGAAATTCCCAGGCGTTCACAGGCCAGCCAGGCGACATAGTCCCACCAGCTAAGGCATCGTATTACATAGCTGTAAATCCAATCGACGTTGTGTGAACTCGGTAAAATTGAATATTAAAACGTTGATGTATTTTCCCACAGTTGTCAGCGCCCAGCTTGCTGCCATTGCCTTCCAGCATCGGTAAGCATCTCGACAGCATCCACGCTTTAGTTATAGATTGTTTTTTAGCTTTGCAATTCACGTTCAACCGTTCTATCTCTGTGTGCCTATGAACAAATCGTCCAGATTATGCCCGGTTCCCATCAGATCTCGACGTAAGCAGGGAGATGATCCTGGATTTGAACAAGGGCTGTGAATGTAAATTCCCTCTCTCTAATCCAGCTGGGTGAATGTGCACGGCTCTCGAATGGGAAGATTGTGACTTGAAATCCTGACTGGTGGATGGTTCGGTGCCTGCTTCTCCCAGAGTCAATAAAATGAGTACCAATTTTTTGGGGATATCTGCAGTTGTCCTCTTTATAGAGTCACCCCCCACCATAGCAATGTAGGACACTTCCACCATCGGCTTAGGTTTGTAAAGAGGAAGACAGCTCTGCTTTATGCTCAAGTGTGCAGGAAACCACTTCTTACTCGTTTTTTTATTACCAATTCCACCATGTGTGTAAGTGACGCACTTCCTAAACGTTGTCCTCTCGTCGACAGCGATTGAGTTTGTGGCATAAAACAAGCAGCCGGGGATGTAACACTGCTTGTGTGACTGTTATCTCATGCAAGTTGTTGTCCCTCAGGCCTCAAATGTCAATCGAGTACAAGGTTCCGGACAAGATGGTCGGCTTCAGTAAGTGACCAGTCACTCGTAGACCCTTTGCATTTTGTAATGCTGGAATGTGCTTCATGGTTATGAACAGTGTTGTTTGGGTAGCTGCTGTGGAGAAGAGGAATATTTATGCCTTAGTCATTCACTGGGAGTCAATGGAGTATATTAAAAAAAATGACTTGCATACAATAAGGAGTATGAATCAATAGCCACCATTTTATACATTCATTAATTCTAAAATAAATGGAGGCGTAAATACTTTTCTTGGTCTTGAGTATGATATTTCTATTTGTTCCAAGGCGGTATCTTGTTTTCAAAATATATATGTTTTTTAACTCTATAACTTTGGCTCATTCATTGCAGTCCAGCCCAAGTTTATAATGCACCATTGTGGCGAAATGAGAGCCAATCGGGACGGGCTGCGTCAATACACCTAGCCCGAGGCAGGACGCAAACGTTGGGATGATGTTCCGCGTTTCTGCGAAGCTTCCCAGAAACTATCGTTGGTGAATCTAGGCTGCGGAAAAGTCGCACACTTTTTTTTGTTACTTACGTGAACACGCATGGCTCTGCTGTGTTGGCGCCATTTGTTTAAACAGGGTCTGGCTTTGCATCTTTGTTGCAGTTATTGGAAGGGGTGGAGAGAACATCAGTAGGATCCAGTCCGATTCCGGATGCAAAGTGCAGTTTGCGCCAGGTAAGGCGACGAAGATTTAAACTTCTTGTTACATTTCACAAGGGTTCTACAACGATATTTTCCGGCCAGCCACAATAAAATTAGGCTGTGCTGGCAAGACACGTGATGTCATATGGCACGTGTACAGATGTTACAACATCATAACATCTGTACTTGTGACTGCTAGTCTGTGCCTATTGTCTCCCTGCACCTCTTCTCTCTTGTTCACCTTGCTTTCATTTCACTAATCGGTATTTCTTGTCTATGGCTCTTTCAAGTATTATCCATCTCTTTCATCTCAATATTCTATATTTCCGTGTCAACGGTAATGTATTGATTGGCGTAACTGACTATGGCCTGTGGGCCACCAGATAAATAACTGGATTGCACTGGAGGTCATTGTTTTGCGTGACACATGAGTGTGTTATGTATTTGGCGTGTAAGCTATCAAGCAATATTCTCAGACTCCTTTCCTCGTCCAACTTTTCTGTCTCTTTTATATGCATTGTGATCTCCAAAGGGAAATGTTATTGAACGCATTGCATGCTGGTTCATATCTTCGCTGTGATCTTGGCAACCGGAGTTCAATTCACAGCACCATTGGCAAGGGATATCTGAAACGGTGCTGGGAATCCCGCACGTTCACTAACTAGTGTCTTAACCAGCATGGTGAAGTCTGGCATGGTTAGGATCATACTCTTAGGTTTTTTCGGTAAAGTCACGTAGGTAAAAAATTGATACAGTAAATCTAGCTGTGACGATCCCACCTGATGACGGAGACTTGTGTTGACTCCGAAACGTCGTGATTTATAATTTTATTTATATTACTTATTTTATTATTATTATTATTCATTTTTACCTACGTGACTTTACCGAAAAAACCTATGAATGCTTGCAGTCACGAAAGCTTCAAATCTAGAATGGTTAGACCATCCAGCAGTAGAGTGAGGAGCTGAAAATGTTTACCATTCATTGAATAGTGTTTATATTCTTTGGGTATTTGGGTAAAGTCACGTAGATAGGTAAAAAAACGAAAAAACTATGATGTTTCGATCACACCACAAGCAGTCATCAAGTGGATGACCTGATGACGACCGTTTGTGTTGCGATCGAAACGTCGTAGTTTTTTGTAAAAAAATTTGAACCTATCTATGTGACTTTACCCTAAGACCCAAAGAATATTAATTCTTACTCTTAGGTTTTTTCGGTAAAGTCACGTAGCGAAAAATAAATAAATAATATTTAATAATATTTGAAATAAAATAATTATATTATTCATATTATTTCTTTTTTATTTTTACCTACATGACTTTACCGAAAAAACCTAAGAGTATGAATCCTTGCAGTCACGAAAGCTTCACATCTAGAATATGAATTCTGCAGTCACCAAAGCTTTAAGTCAAAATTTTAATAGTGTTTGCATTGAGTGCAATTATTCCTCATTGCTGTATTCTTTGTCACTATATAATTATAGTCCCTAGACTCATGAGCTTCTAATCTTTGTTCCTATAGATTCCAAAGATTAATATCACCGTAGATGCTATAGATTCACACCACATAAAATATTTAATACATTCTCGATATTCCTACCAGCATAGGTTCTACATGCACAGCATGGGCAATACTGTATGTGAATGTAATTGTAACAATTCATCAAATCATTGTGCAGTTGAATCATTAAATCCCGCGAGTGCATTACTTGCTTGTCATTCAAATGGTGGCATTGGTAAACAATTACGTTGCTTCATTCATGGGACCCTTGAGAACAGTGTGAGCTATCGTCTTGTCTGAAGATTTAATCGTGAATGCGAGTGGTCTTGACTGCTGCATCCTTTCTGGTTGTCCACAGACAGCGGAGGACAGGCGGACAGACCGTGCACGCTTACAGGCACCCCCGAAGCCATTGCGTGAGTAATATGGGGGGGGAGCTTAAGAGGCTGCGTCGTGCTGACTTCTCTCACGATGACACCTTGCTATCGAGACGGGAGATTTCCCATTTAGAACTCACCTTTCGTGAGAGAGTACCCCTGCAAGATGTCGCATATCTCCTCCCTCCTGAAGTGTGTTTTTATTTCTACCAGGGGCACACCTTTTATACCCCGTGCAAAGCTTATGTGGGAAGTTGTAGTCCTTGGCATGCTGGATTATTTTCGTCCAACAGTTGATGAACGTTTTCGTCACGAATTTCATTCACAAAATGGAGACTGGGTTTTAAAGCCCTGGGTTGATTGCCGCTCACGAGGTTCATGATCGCCGTGTCACACAGTGAGCCGGCACTGCTTTGTGTGTAGTAATAAAAAAGACCACACTTTATTTAATGAACAAAATTAATGCTGCGTTAGTGATACACTGTGACCAGTTCTCATCTGAACACCACTATTCTCAAGTTTAAAACAATTCTGGCAAAATCGCCCCATGAGGCTCGTAATTACCAGTGAAACGTCGTACTCAACTTGTAAATGTTTTGGGTTTACTCTCGAACACACCGGTGTGTTGAAGTAGTAACTAATTGGCACTTTTTGTTTACATAACAAACCCTAATAATTTGCTGTGTCAGGTGGTCGTGGGTTTTCGACACATATTTACGTGATCAAACCCCAAAAAATACCATCGTGTAGCCGCTATTCTTGTTCGCGGACGCTCGATCACACGCGCGTGCGCGCGCATCCCATATGCGCAGGGAGGCGAAGCGCATGCTGGACCAGATCGTGGAGAGGGGCCGCATCCCTCCAGGTCCCGCCGGCGTGGACCACACGAGCCACTCGCAGGAGATGATGATCCCCGCCGACAAAGTGGGCCTCATCATCGGCAAGGGCGGCGAGACCATCAAGCAACTGCAGGTAGAGGAAACTGAATATCCAAATTGAACTGGTGTTTGTGCGGTCGGAAGGTGCGCGAGCAGTTGTCGCGGCAGGTTTGTGAATAGCCCGTCCGTTGTGTGTTTATCGCTCACGCAAGCGGGTGTAGCCTTGTGTCTATAGAGTTTTTTTCTTTTTATCCATCCCACCCGCCGGTCTCATTCTGCCACAATGGTATTGTTTCTCGTTTGTCCTGTCTTTACACCGTTTAGTTTGCTTCATTTCTTCCAAATGTAATATTTGCTGAAATTGTACATTGATTCTCAAGATTCGTTGCATTTATCCTGAGCATAATGTGTTTTAATCGACTGGAAATGGAATGGATATTGTGGCACAGGCGGCAGGTATATTTGGATTTTTTTTTCACCCCACTGGGAAGGTCTACATTTGAAAATAAACTTTTACACCCCACGTGAAAAATACAGTCCTAACATTTCTAGAACCTCATAAAATTTTAATTCCAGCTTCAAAGGCACATATTCGACTGAAACGGTTTGTAGCATTTTGAGTGCATGCACTCAGAATGCCGGATCCCGAAGGAAAGATTTAAATTATTCCGTTGAAGGGTTAATACTTTTTTTACTCTTATCGACGTATGCTGCGGTGTTCTATTTAATCACGAGAAATGTGTTTGTATTCTCCCTGTATTATTTACTATTGTGCAAGTTTGTGCCTTTGGGAAATACAATTTTTCACCTTGATGGAATCATACTGCAGTTGCAGGCTTTGCGATGAAGAGAAAGTAAAAAAGTTCATTTTTACCCTTTCTAAAAGGCACTTAAGGAGTATGAACGTTGAGGCCTTGAAGCAAGCCGGTTAACCATTTCTCCCAGCTGAGGCTCATTACGTCTTAAACCTTGTGGAGCCCCTGAAGTACATGGTAGATCAGCAAGGCCAGTCTTTTGCACGAGTTTTATATTGTTTGTCCCCGGAAAGGATCGCAACCTTTGTCCATGGAAAATATTGGCACGCTCATGTCCCTGAATGCAATAATTACCCCACACATAAAAATCCAACTCCATTGTCCCGAATTTTTTTTGTTATTTCCCCCCCCTCCTCCTCCTGCTGCTGTCGGCTAGCTTAGAGAGTACGATAATGGCATCCGTGAACCATTTTTGCGAACGGTGGTTGTTGAGACAGCCTTTGTGCGACGCTACATCGCTGTGGCCTCAACGTCACCTCTGCCTTTATTTTATTTTGCACGGCCCATTTTGCGCAAGGTTAAAGTGTTTTTTTTTTTTTACGCCCACCCCAACCGTTCCGCCGGTTCCTTCCTTCAAAGTCACGTTCCCTTCTATCACGTTAACTGGAAGAACATGGGGGGAGTCACGTGTCCGAGAGAGAAATTATCGTCGTTTGTGCATCACGTGTTTATTCCCCACCTCCGGTAGTTAGGCTTTTTGTTCACCCTTCGCGCTACTCCAATCAATGATGCGAGTGCGGCCCCTGCACCAAACTGGAGGCCAGTAAATTATGTTATGAATGGCCAATGGAGTGCGCGGCTTCACACCTCTACTTGCGTTAAGCTGCGACTTTGAAACTGGCGTTTAAAATTGTGCACTGGCACTGCACAGATGCCCACGTCGCTTTTGTTTGTGGCTAATTTTTTTTTCATAAATGTCATTTGGGGGTGGGGGGGGGGGGAAACACGTTGGGCTTTTTTTTGTTCGCGTCGCCATTATCGCTGCCACCATTATGGAAATATTTTTGTATTACAGAAAGTGTTTTCGTTTCACAAATAGTACTTTAACATTCAGGGACACCACCAATAGCACATTGGCGACATTTTCGTAAAAAGGATTTTTGCCTTTGGTATAACAGCCATGCAACCAAGGCCACTGGTACCTTCAGCTTGTAAATGTCAATCCCAAAGCCATTCTCTCCCTTCCACTCAATTGCCGTGACTCACAATGTGTTCGCGCAGTCAATAAAAAGTGAAAAATTCCCATCTCTTTATGTCTTAAAAGCTTAAGTAACACGACCTTTATATAACTGTTAAGCGAATGCCTGGGTATATAGCACATTGCATTGCTTTTTGTAGGATGTTTACTTAGTTTTATTTATTGATGCATTTTTGAAATCCAGCCTAATTTTGAAGCCCAATCTGGCGTTCACAATTTAACACGGCTTACATTCATTTGTTGAATGGATGCTTTTTATTATATTATACCATGACTGCCTGTTAATGGGAAATGGACTAATGATGCTCCCCACCTCTTGTCCAGAAGTGCTACCGTTAACAGTGACATTAGGGAAAGTGTGAGACACTTAGAGCCTGCATTAGTTGCACGCTTGGTGCCAAGTGGCCTTGGTGGTGGTGAGCGTGTGGCTGGCGGTGGTGGTAGTGGAAGCGCGGTATGGTTTTTTTTGTATAGTGATGAGCATTGTTAGCGACGCACAATAACCACTGCCTATGCTCCCCGCTAATTGGCAACGGTCTTGAGTCATCTGACAGGAAATTGACAGAATGAAAATGTAAAGACTACGTCGATGAAACCGAAACTTTAGGAAACGTCAAAATGCAATGTTCCCTCGCTGAGACCTAATAATGGTATTAGAGAACATTTTAATTGCTTTGGATGATAAATGACTTCAAATTCAATCCTCTTCTAGGATCAAATACATGGAGGCAAAGGTGAAGAGGTCATCACAGCTGATAGTATTGATGTCTCCATACCTCGAAGGCTCTTCTGCCAGATCACACAAATGTTGCTTGACACCCAACCTCCGAAGTCCATTAAAATGAGCAACCTGCGATTAGCACGGTTGGCTATGTACCGTGCGAAAGAAATTCAACATACACACGTTAGCTGAAGCAAGATGATTTTGGATCTTAGAAAGTGGTGAGCATGGACCTGCATTGAACGGATTGGTAACGCGAAGTTTGTGACTGGATCCTGCGTCTCAGGACCGTGCTGGTGTGCGAATGCTGCTCATCCAAGACGGCTCTCAGCCAACGGGCGCTGACAAACCCCTGCGCATCATGGGCGAGCCCTTCAAAGTTCAGGTATAAATTTTGATTTAAAGCTTTCGTGACTGCAGGGATTCATCTTCTTGGTTCTTTCGGTAAAGTCGCGTAGAAGGGAAATAATATAAATTTAATAAAATAAAATTCTCACGACGTTTCGGCCACAACGCAAGGACGGCTGCTTGCGTTTTGGCCGAAACGTCATGAGATAATTTTATTTTATGTTAAATTTTTATTATTTTATTATTTCCCTTCTATGTGACTTTACCGAAAGAACCAAGAAGAGTTCAGGTATACACACTTAAAAGCCGCTACCTCTGCCTGACAGTGCCTGCAATGGGTATATGTGTGTGATTCCGAATGGAATTAATTTGTCAATTGGTATCAAGACACAGCTCTACTGCCCTCTGTTCAAGTCCAGGCTCAATACCTTTTTAACACCTCTTCCAAGTAAGATTGAGAGTTTTCATGCATTAGCTCTGTCTGTAACGTGGGGTCATGGTACCCCTTATAGAGGTGATCTAAGATAAGTTAAATCATTTGTTTAAAGTTGTGTTTTTCATTAGTTATTAATGACCTAACCTATAGAAAACTGGCCATATTGATCAAAGGGTTGTGATTTACAAACCTATCTATGGGGTAAGCCTTTTCGGCCAAGGTGGTGACGTCACATGCCTTGCGCCCACCTCCCTATGACATTTATGTTCGATGACATCTTACAAAGTCGCATATTTCCTCGTGTGAAACATCTCATTCCGCAGCTCGAAAGGTAATGTGGTTATTGCCAATTAAATAGCTCCGAGGACAAACGCATTGGACAGCGTTGGGAATCCATGCCCCTGACTTGAGCCTTGTGCTGCTTTCCACTGCAGCAAGCCAAGGAGCTGGTGCTGGAATTGCTGAGAGAGAAGGATCGGGAGGACTTCCGTCCCGGCGGCGGCAACAACAACAACAACAACGGCTTTGGGAATAAATCTGGTGGTGGTGGCGGCGGTGGTGGCGGTGGTGGCGGCGGCGGTGGTGGTGGCGGCGGCGGAGGTGGTGGCGGCGGCGGAGGCGGCGGAGGTGGTGGTGGTGGCGGTGGTGGCGTTGGCAGCATGGAGGTGAGTGACAACTCGTGCGGGACACATAAACCCCAAGTGTGTAATGGTGGTCTACGTGACGTCACATGTCACGTGATATTGTTAAACATAGTATCCACACGTTAAGATGTGACTTTATAAAGCTTGTACATGTGACCACTCATCTGGACCTTTTGTCTCACGAATCTGTACCTCTGTCTTGCTCAGCCATATCTCTTGGCGGGTCCTTAGCTCGGTGGCCCACCCCAGAGCCTGCAATGGAAGAGCCCAGCTTTATTAGGCTAATGGAACAAATAAGACAACACAAAATTTCCTATGAGATGGTCAGAATTAACCAAGCAGTATGAATGACGCAAGTGAGAATTGATTGACGAATAGAATGGTGACGCAACAATTGTGGAAAATGCATCTAATCGCGGAGGTGGTGAATCGTTACCCCTTCAACCGCCTGCCGTTGACATGAAGTCTCTCTGACGGTTTGGTTTTCTTGCGAGAACGGCTTGGCATGGCTGTTAGCCGTGGTTGCATGTTATATTTTTAAAGCGGCAAATGCTGCCACTGTTTGCACAGTGGCCTTGGGTGAATGCTTTTGCATTGAAAATAAATAGAATGGTGAATTTGCAGGGAGGTGGGGGGGGGGGTTGTTTTCAACGAATGGCTGAGTAGAAACTTCACATGCGGTTATGCCATAAATCAGTTGTACGAGATTAACATGATTCATAGAATTACTCGGCTTTTGTGATTGATTTTACAGTGGAACATTTGTGCAGTGGTTAACATAATGTCCTATGAGATGTGCAGCCAGGCTAATTTTACGAGTGAGTGATATATGAACTGGACCATGCCACTTCACCAGCCCTCGCTGACCAATGTGATGAAGTTTGGTGGTCAAACATCCCCTGTGACCTGCATAGTATCTGGAAGCCTTCATTCATTACTGTATTTTAATATGCTCTCGCGCATGCCGTGATGGTGTTTTGTTAATGTCTTTAGCAAATGAAATTGTTAAATTAACATTTGACCGGCAAATATATGACTTATTTAGTAGATTGTACCATAGGATGCGTCTTGAGCTTCTCAATCTGAATATTTTACTTAATTCGTGAGAAAAAAGGATGTAAAATGTATAATTAGGCATGGTGTTTTTGCACTATAGTGATATCGCTATTGAGAATAGGTTTTACCCATTTTTCTGGCACCAGGTGTTAAGATGTTAAAACACCAAACTGAAACCTTTTACAAGGAATCATGTCTGCATTAACCACAATACTTGTGGTCAGAATGCAAACAAAAAACTTACTCTGATAATATATGCATTGTCTTTGAAACTGATGGGTCCACACCAGAGACTGCTTTCTCTTGAGCCTCGTCTCAAACGTTGTTAGACCAGAGGACGCCAAAAGGTGTACAGCGTCTTCTAACATCTTAACACCTGTTTTGTTTCCAGACAAAAGGGGATAACCTATTCTCATATTTTGGTACTGGCAAAGGAGGTCCCATGATGATATCGCTATTGACATGTTTAAACATACTGGTGAAATCATATGTCGACGTCATGCATGCAATGTGTGACATCTCATCGTCTGGCTTGAAACGTAACGGTATTACGAGCAATTACGTTCTTCCGAAGGCAATCGCATTTAGGACAGCGTTATCGGAATCATGCATATGCATGGCTTTTCCTCCGTGACTTGGTTGCATCTTCATTTGACTTTTCAAGCTTGGCTCGCGGTTCGCTTCGACGTTAGGTTTGGGACCAAGGTCAGTGGCTGGGCCTCCTCGATGGGCACACGAGAGGGTTTTCTCTACATCGGCCACGTGGTTGTCTCTCGCTAGGTGACCGTGCCACGCTTTGCCGTCGGCATCGTCATCGGCCGCAGTGGGGAGATGATCAAGAAGATCCAAAGCGACGCGGGCGTACGGATACAGTTCAAGCCAGGTATGTGCCTTGTGTGTGCCGTGTGTTTGTGCACCTTGTGTTTATCTATACATGTGTATGGACGGGAGAGCTGCTGCTGGTCTGCCCCGCTACGAACCCGGTGACCCAAATTTGATTCCTGCTCACGGCTAACACCTGTGACGATTATCTGAACTGGTCCTAGACCTCCCTAAGGTCCTGGGCCTCCCCTAAGTCGACTCGGCCTCGAATGAGTACCTGGTGCGGTGTGTAAACGTCGCGACAAGGGAGCCCAAAGATGGCTTGACGTGGTGCTGCCACCCACCCAATCGGGCCGTGCTGGCCTTTAAAGGTCCTCGCTAACAGCACTTGCCCCAAAAGTCTGTTCAGGCTATAATGGGGATCTTTGCCTTTGGACATGTGTGTGCATGCAAATGTTTGACGTCAAGTAACTTGCCCAACTCGGGCGATAATTTGTAAAATCCTGAAGACCCACTCGGATGCACATTTGCTTGCGTGCGCCATTTGAATGGTGGGAGATATTGCGTGTAAGCATGTGCGGCTTGGATAGGCACTTTAAATTTGATCCCTCTTGCCTTAGGGCAGCTTGGCAGACGAGTGTGATTTATTGATTGTTTTGCAGTTACTTTAGGTTGCTTGGAGTTGACATTTCACCCGCCTTGGTTGCCTATAGTACTCATTGTAAAACCCTGTGATATCACATGCAAGAGTTGATGGCCGGCTTTGCTCAATCTCACGCTCTCACCCCCCCCCCCCCGCCTTGGCGTGTACGCGTACAGATGATGGCAGTGGACCCGAGCGCGTTGCCGTGCTGGTCGGTTCGCCTGACTGCTGCCAGCACGCGTCCCAGCTCATTCACAACCTGCTCGACAGCATTCAGGTTGACATGCACAGCACAATGTAGCCGCGTCCGGCTCTGTTGCATTACAATCCCTCCTTTAATGTTACTGTGCCATTTATTGAGGGACTGTTATCTTGGTGTGGTCTTGGAACTGTTTTGTTGTTGTTTTGCTGCCTTGCCCAATATTGATATATAATGAATGCATTTACATTTAGTGACTTGTTTACCATTTTCTTAATTTTGCACTCCCAGCAATTTTTTTTGTATTGGAAATTTGAGCCACTCATACTGGGCATCTGTGAAACGGAGCTTCATAGCTCATCGGATTCCTTTAGTCTAAATAAAGATTCTGATTCCATACAGCATCACTGGGATATGGGGCTTATATAGCTCGGCAAAGACTTTGGCCCAGGAATGGCAGCACTATGGCCTTGTCTGTGTCACTGCACATGGCTGTCCCCCATTTCTACACCACACCACACAGCCCACAGCACTGTGGATTAGGAGGCACTGTGAAAAAAACGTCTTTAATATAATTTGAACAATTTTTTACGGAAGCGCAGGTTGGTAGGTAGGCTAGCTTTTCGCTGAATGTTCACAATTTGGGTTAACATTTGAATTAAAGAATAAATTATATTTTTGTTGCAATTGTGATTAACGTATTGCCTAAAATTTCTGCTTGGGGGTGCTAGAGGGAAGCCTTCATTCAGCAGTGGATTGATCCTGGCTGATGATGACCGCTGCATTTTTCCACTTCGTCGATGTAACCTACCTCTCCCCCATGACTGATGATGCTCATTACTGTAAGCAGGAGGGGGCTGTTCCCGGTGGCGGCGGTGGCGGCGGCGGTGGTGGCGGCGGTGGCGGCGGACGCGGTCGTGGCCGGGGCGGTGGGGGACGAGGGGGCGGCTTCTGTGGTGGTGGGGACTGGGGCAGCCACTCCCCCGGTGGCGGCGGAAGCATGCAGGAGCACTTCACCTATCCAGTACCCACCTCCAAGTGCGGACTCGTCATCGGCAGGGGTGAGAAACCGCAGCGGATAATCTCACGGCGTCACGGTGGCGAGATGTTAACTGCCTCGCCTGGTATGTGGGAGGTTGTGGGTTCGATCCCAACCATGAAGCCTGTATATTTGGAGTTGGCCTGTTCTCTCTTCCCGTGGTCCCGTGGATTCTTCTCAGGGTCCTCTGGTTTTTCCCTTCACATTTAGAGTCGACGTGCGTTCAGAGTCTTTGGTTGCTATAAATTTCCGCATGAGAAGCCGTCACTTCGTTGAGCTGTCATTTGTGGCCAGGTTGCTTCTGAAAAAGAGCTATGGAGCTCAGTGAGCCTTACCTGGTAAAATAACAATTGTAATTGTTTAGTTTTGAAGAGTTTTACCACCACTCCTGTTTGTGGATATGCTCACGGGTGTATATGCCAGGACAGTTGATGGCGGGAGTCGCTGACAATTTATGGGTAAAGGGGGGGGAGCCTTTTCCTTACCGAGTGCTGAATAAGACTTTTAAATACCTTTGGCCTGATCATGCATTAACACGTTGGCGTTACCAATAATACAGAAAAACAATGTGCGTGTCTACCCAGTATATGGGGGGGGGGGGGGGGAGGTGTCCTTAGTTTGACAGAAGTGAATAGTATTGCTTGCAATGGTCACCATGAACTTCTTTGAACTTTGCATCACCCAAAGTGATGACTTAGGTCCTTTGTCCAAATGCCAGCCTTTTTTTTTTGCGTGGATGGTATATATATTCATACTGGTAGGAACCTCCTGGTTACACCAGCCCACAGGGGATTATTGTGTCCGTCCGTCGTGAATCCAAAAATGGGATGGGTGGGGCTGGGTGGAGAGGGGAGGGTGGGGAGGGGCTGGTTGGGGGGTGGGAGGGGTGAGGCTGGTCACCCCGTGGTGCCCTTATAAAACTCAACGTTTAACCTACTCACGCCAGCTTGTGCCCGCCCTCAGTCGGCCATATTTGCGGAATACACCACGCCGCTGTTGACCCTGGCCATTGACCGAGCAACCCAACGTTCCTACCAGCTCCCTCCGCAGGAATGTGTTATTGCCCTTTGACAAGCCACTGTTGGATGGAAGCCTCCCCATGATGTGCCGGTTATTGTGTTGTTTGACCGTTTTTGCTCCTGCTGCTTGCTGAGGGATTGATGGAGGAGGCGAGGAACAGGACTGGTTCAGATGTCACTCGCCACTGTTGCTAGACGTGTCCGGGTATCGGAACACAGTTTTCCCCCACCCGGTTCAGCGTGCAGTGTCCGCTATCCTCTGCACCAGCGCCTTACCCCGACGCAACATCGTTAACGTGCGTTAAATGTTTCCGGCAAGCGTCCTTGTCGCCAAACGTGCACGCCGGCTTGGCACGGTTATTAGACCGGCAACCCCCTTTGCTTCCACGCTCGGCCCTCTCGCTTTCAGTCTCTCCTCTCTTTTATACCCTGCGTCATTTTAAATGCCTTAATTTGGCATGCCCTGGCGCACAAACACAGTCGTCCAATGTTGCAATTGCGCGTGTAGAGCATGGCTTTAATCAGTTGGGCCACCAGTAGGGGGGGGGTTGACCACGGGTCGAGGGGGAGGGGTTTGGCCTCTTTTGTCATGTTAAGCATCTGGGGCCCCAGCACCTTATAAATATAGAGAGGGAGTGCTTTTCTATGAAGTTGGTGAAGTGAATAATAAACCCTGTGCCTTTTTTGTTTAAACGCCATTCTGCAGCAGCAGCAGCAGCTACGGTAGCAGTAGTGGCTATAGGTGGATATAAATGCATTTTGTTATTATTCACTTTGACGATTTGAGAACAAGTTAATGTATGCTGCCAATGAGAGACTAATCGCGCGAGTTCTCTGCCAAGCCGCCGAATTGCAGTTGCACCTCCTGCACGAAGTGGAGACGCATTGAAAGTTGTCAAAAGTGGTGAAGCTGACCATGCGTTTTTATGTAAAAATTGCTCACCTGAACGAGTTGTGAAAATAGCAAAATACAGCGTTATGAAATGTAATCTCACATGGTGTTATTTTCACCAGGATTAATTATCCTGAGATTCACAACCCATTTCAACTGGGATTCTGGCAATGTGATGACAATTCATTAGCTCCACGTAAAATGTATTTTTAAAAAAGGGGGGGGGGGGGGAGAGTGGTGTGGTGTATTGATTATCATGCATTGCTTTGAACATGGCTCCCTGAGTGATTCCTAGCTATGCCAAACATCAGTGGTGAGTGATATAGGACTGGTCCTGGTACCCCCACCCCCAGCCCCCTCTCCTTTACTGACCGGCGTGGTGAAGTATAGTCACCGACACTGTGTGGTGAGGCTTTCATCCAGCAGTAACTTGTGCATTATAATTAAAATAACAACTTAATATATCACACCAGATTAAATATAACTTGACGTAAATATCAAAGCCATTCATTATTTGTGCAATTTTTGCTTTGAAAAAGGGCAATTGCACAACTTGAATGTGTATTATTAACCAGCGTGAATGATGAACATGGTGCATTTTATTTCTTCCTAGAACACTGCTGTCAAAACATTCTCTTAAATTAGAAACTAATTTTGCTCGTTATTTGTATCTGAAGACTCCTTTCTTATCTCGTCCCTGACCCCAATACAATTGAAATCCCAGCCTACACAAACTTTTACCACAACAAAAGAAAAAAATGTGAAAGGCCGTTCAGCCTTGTGACAGTCACCATTTAGTGGCAATGTACTCGGAGCCAATGCGTCCTTCCAGTGCCCACACACGCCTGTGGTGCTCTAGTTTTTATTTCATATATTCTCCAATTGTTATCCCTGTTGTGTTATCAGTTTAATGTCATGAGACCAATTCACTTGGGGCTCTCGCAGAAAAGTGCAATCATTTAAAGTTAGAGAATGGCTTGTGGAATCAGATATAACAGAGCTACCTCTGAGATCCCTTAAATTGACCTCTGTTCCTCCACACTGCAGGAGGCAGCCCTAATCTGCCCGCCCGAGTGCAGAGAATGTTTGCTGCATTCGTCAAACCGATTTTAAGTTTCAGAGCTGAAGTGGAGTCAAATTATATGCACAACCAATGTGATGGTTTTTGTAATTATTGGTGGCCAAGACCTCACTACACTTGGGGACCTGAAATAATCACGGGCAGCTGAAACATGCACTTAAACCCACAATCCTCAGCGGTGCCAGCTCAGCGGGTCTGACCTGTGAGTCACCCACTCACACGCGGCCTTACTTCTTAGCACTGTGCTTTCGGCCAGACTCTGAACACATTCCAAAATGTCTCTTTCGTTGCCTAAACGGCCCTTGCAACCCACCCAGCGGTTGGGCAACCCGTCGACTTCGAGACCAGCCGACGACCTGTGCGGAACAACCGGCACGTCCCTAATTGCGGCGATTGTTGCCTTCCCGGATGGCCCGTTGCACACAGAGCTCGCCACTTTTTGTTTAAACTCTTTATCTACTTCAAGAGTTATTAAAGGACTTAATAAGGGGGAGGTTTTGAAAGCGTCCGTCGGACACAATGCAGCGTTGTTGTTCATATTAAATTTCTCACGGCTGGCCAGGCCCCGTTTGACGACAATTTAACACGGGCGAAGTGGGGCCGGCCCCTTTACCCGCCGCTCCTGAACCGCGGTGAAAGAAAACGCTGTCAAGATCAGAAGGTTTTCCCCTTTGCTGGTGGCAGAACGATAAATCTGTCTTCTCCTCCCCGGGACGTATTACCATGACAATGGCCCAGAAAGCGAAACCGCCTTTGCGGGCTGGGCTGAATGGCACCGCCGGCAAAAAGGCGCTGTCAGCTCGTGTTTTAAAGCCGCCTTGATTAATTGCTTTCTGATTTTCATCAAATGACATTACAGTCGAGTTCACTTTGCACTTCTGTGCCCTCCACGCAGGCCGGTCCACGAAGAAAGGGGCAGACTGTTTTTTCAGTTGGGGGGGGGGGGGGGGGGTCCCCGCATCTGTCCCCCGCAGACCCCGTAACAGCCCTATTGACCTTCCGCAAGCCGGGGGTGCCTTCACTGATGCCTTTATTACGTAGCCTCCCCAGCCCCCTCTTAACCTCTCTCCGCCCTACGACCGATCGGCCTGGTCCTTCTCCCCGCCGCTCACTTTCCCCCCTCGCGTCGTCCAGGCCGACTCGGGCCGCGTGCCGCTGTGGCACGCGCCTTGACTTGACACCTCCGCGCGGCTTATCGGCCGCGCCAAGAGTCTCCGTAATCGCCGCCTGCACTGCCACAGCAGCGATCGTCAACGCCCGCTCGTTGCGTGAAATGCCCCCGCTGCGGCCGGACTCCCGTTGGCGCTGCGGTCAGAGGGCTGAAATGGGCCGCTGCGCTAAGCACGAGTTGCGTTGTTTGAAAGTCTGCGGCCGAAGCTGCCGTTTCTGAGCCACACTGCCTTCACACCTAGGCCAGCAGCCAAGAATGCCCACTTTTGCACAGCGGTGTTAATCCTGAGAGTTAAAATCTAGGCATTTGTTGATTTAATTTCTCGTCACCGAGCCTCAGCGATTGGATGAATCGCCGTGATCGTGTGTGGTGATTCTATTTAAGGATTGTTGTTGTTTCCGGTCTGCGTTTTGTATGGGGGGTTTTTATGCTTTCTAATGAGTGCAGTTTTGTTTCTTTGCTTATGCCATCTAATCGATCCAACACGTACAATTTTATGCATGATATTATAAAGATTAATATTAGTCAATTAACATCATAGGAGTGTAACAATTCACCCTCCGCTGGTGAGTTGATACATATGCACGTTTTTAGGGGTTGTGATTTAATGAAAGGATATACATTTTAGCAGACGCATTACATAAAACGTATACTAATCGAAGTTTCAGTTTAATGTATTAGGTATAACCCTGTGAGCCATGCGGCTCTTGACTCGGGTGCAACCGCAACAAACAAAAACACGAACAAGAAACATCTTAAAGTGACTACATGCAACAGAAAAATCCAGGAAAAAACAGCAAAGTCTTTATTCTTACTCCCGAGTATCGCGAGTTAAATTTTTTAAAATAATAGATGAATAATTTTACCCTGGTATAAACATACAACATGCCTAAAGAAAACCACACAGGGAAAATCAACAGTAGTTGGGGAATTGTGCTCACAAAGCTAATAACAATTTAACTCTTCACGTCGAAGCAAGCGACGGCCCTTTGAGTTAGCAAGTGAACACAGCGGCCAACGTTCCACCAAGGGACCTGAAGTCCTCATGCAGAGGCGTGGTCACCCCCTGCCTTCATCCCATCCTGGGGGGGGGGGGGGGGTGACGGACAGGGGGACTTGTGAAGGGGCGGGAAGGGGGCAGCCCCACCGGCCGTAGGCTGACCACCGCGGACGTTCGCTCGCTCACTGTCGGAGCCATTGTTAGAGTTCCATGTGGCTGGGCAAAGGCGCGTTACACCGCCATCAACGTGTCCGTTGGGGGTGGGGGGGGAGGGGGCCACAGCATTAACGCGCCGTGACGCACGAGTCAAGATCCTCATTTGCCCGACGGGCCCCGAAGACGCGACGATAGCGAGATCGATGTGTAGAGGCCGGCGCTTTGTTGCGTAGCCGACTTGATGGGGGGGGGGGGGGGGGAGGCAGGCACAGGTTCGCGTGCGGTGGACATAAGAAAGGATTGATGATCGATTACGGGTTTTTTTTAAGCCTTCCTATTTCGACCCTCGGGCTATGCTCGCTTTGAAATTTCCTGAAAGTCTGTTCGCCGACGAGGGTTTTTTTTGTGACAAGGGACCACCAAGAAATTGGGAATAATGCAGCGTGAAACGTCTAAAAGTGTGCGTGGCCAAAAGTCAATGCGGCACATATGTGGTGTTTTGGAACTGTCCGAGAAGGCAGCTTTTGTCCTTTGATGTGTGTGTCCCTTGAGGTTAAATGGTTTGGTGTAATTTTACGTGAAAATAATTACCATTTTATTAAAGTAAAATGCTACGTAAACGACAAACATCCCCTGTTGTCCGGAGGCATTACCTAAGCTGTGTGTCAGTCTCTCCGACGTGAGTTTTGCTAATGATAAATAACGACTTAAAAGTTACTGACAATCCTGCTACAATGGCTTGATGGGGATAACACTGCATGGACCAAAATAGTTAGCACTTGGGAGACAAAAGGCAGCCAGGAATGCTGCTAGCTGCACCACCCTCTCATGTGCCACACCGGCCTTAATAAGTGCTTTAATTAGTAGGTGTAGACTAAATTAATAGGTATACACTCAGTCTGTGCAGCAATTCCAGAGGAGGCTTTGTGCAAAATACATAGGAGGGATGTTATTAGAATTAACCCTTGCGTTAATTTCCTTTTTTCTCAACAGCGAACTTCACACCCAATTTATTTAAAGTCGGCGAGGTTTCTCTCCGTGCCTTGATCCCCTCCCCGACGGTGCTCGTGGTTTTTTCCTTATATGTGTGCATGTTCGTGTGGCTTCGATCACAGGAGGGGAGACGATCAGAAACATCAGCCAGCAGACGGGCGCGCAGATTGAGATTCAGCGCAACGCCCCACCTGGCGCTGACCCTAACTTCAAGCTGTTCTTCATCCGCGGAGGGCAGCAGCAGATAGAGCACGCCCGCCAGCAGATCGACAACATCGTCAACTCGGTAGGCCCCTCTTGACACCTTTCTACCTCGGAAAACCTCGCCTGGTCTCAAGATTGCTTCATTGACATGTTTCGCGAATTGTATTAATAAGTGTTTGGAACCAATATGGGAGGAAACCACAGTGCCCGGATAAAACCCACGACATATACTCGACCATAACGCCGAACGCTCTGCACGGATATTAATCCATCGTTACACACTCTTGTGTATAAGAGTCAGTTATGAAGCTGTTAACTCACTCCACAATAATCACTAATTATAGTTCATTTGCTGGCTATGGTTACTTGTGGACATTAATATCTGGTACCTGGCTTTGGGCTTTGTATGCATGTTGAGCTTGTTTCGCACCATATATAGCCAACCGTACTAATTGTAAGATTGACTTGGCCTCAAAAGAGTAACTGGTGCGGTGTGTCAACATCGACACGAAGAGACTAGATCAGCCCGGTGTGTATGGTGCTAGCCTTAGCAGGCATTCGCTAGCAGTACTTGTCCCAACAGTCTATGCAGAGGATATTTGTTCATGTGTGCGTTTGTGTGTTTGTGTTTTTCAGGGTGGCCCACCTGGCCCACCTTGTGGCTTTCCTGGTCAAGGTCAGGGCCCTGGTCCCTTCCATCCTGGTCCCCCAGGCCCTCCCAGGTACATATCTTAACACAAGTGGGCAGCTCGTGCTACAGACGGGGTGACGTGCACTCGCGTTACACTCACGGGGACCTTCGTCAGACATTCACCACTCACAATACTCACCGATTTTTCAGTCCGCAGCTCGCATAACCTTCACCAGTTTATACATTGTAGTAGGAAGCCCATTGAAGATTGCGTGATGCACTATGGGAGAAATCTACACAAATTTGATTCCTGGGCCTACCCATTTACCAACCCACACTGAACAATGTGGTGAAATATGGCCAAACAATCCCAGTGGGCAGCCTTTCATCCAGCAGTGGATTGACAAAAAGCCTGCCATTCTTTATCGTGAGCACAATAATCACTGAATCATTGCTGCATCATCACATCACACTGTTTCTCACCTGCTGCGTCCCGTGCGGTTCACGTGTTCATGGGTGACGTTGTCCCCTCTGTTTTCGCTCTGCCGTAGGGGCCCGCCGTCGCAGCCCTTTGAGCAGCCGGGTTGGGGAAACTTCCAGCAGCCGTGGCAGCAGCCTCAGCAGCCACCCATGCCGCCAGCAATGAACCCTGGTGAGTAATGGACAGCTCGATTTGGGGTTGCAAGGACTGGAGTTTGAGGAACGCCAATCCAACCTAACCTATGCCTACATTCAACTTTGTGTACAAATATATTTTAAAATGAAGGAGATCATGCGTTGTTGCTGGGCCAGTACTGGGCCAGCAGAGCCCAGAACCCATTGGTTATGGAACCCAAGGCTCATCACGTTCGCTTTCCCAAAGCTCCTTTGCCAATGGCTACTGCCTTTGCCATTCGCAGGCAACGCACCGGCAGATCCGAATGCGGCCAACTGGGCTGCCTACTACGGGCATCAGGGCGCCATGCCAGGCGGTATGCCTGGTGGAATGCCACCAGGAATGCCGGGCGGGATGCCGGCTGGGATGCCGGGAGCCATGCCCGGTGGTATGCCCGGCGGCATGCCCGGCGGCATGCCCGGTGGTATGCCCGGCGGCATGCCCGGCGGCATGCCCGGTGGGATGCCGGCTGGGATGCCGGGCGGAATGCCGGCTGGAATGCCGGGCGCCATGCCGGGTGGCATGCAGGGCGGCATGCCTGGGAACATGCAGGCTGCCATGCAGACCGCCATGCAGCCCGGCGTACAGCCTGGCATGCAGGCCCAGCAGATGGGAATGATGGGAGCTCAGCAGCCACAGCAGCAGCAGCAGCAACAGCAGCAGCAACAGCAGCAGCAACAGCAGCAACAGCAACAACAACAGCAGCAGCAACAACAGCAGCAGGTGGTTGCTCAGCAAGCGGCCGGTAAGTGGTACTCGGCTTTTAACACGTTTGGCAAAGTGATGAATGCGTTGATTGTGCTATTATGAGGTATGAAACGATTAATCGTTTCAAATTGATGTGCTTTATGATGCATGTGGCCGATTGTACTTGTGAAAAACTATTTCGATTCATGCTTTTGTATGATATTTTATTTAAGGTGCTTTTTGAATTGAATTTTAGTTACGTTAAATTTAGGATAACCGAGTGGTGATACTGTACAAATGACACAGAAAAATATAAACGAGAGGTAAAACGTGAAGAAATAAAACATTGATTATTGATATGAATTTGTGACCTTGTACCATGAATATTTGTCCAATTGGGAGATGGGTGAATTATTTCATACCAAATTAGTTTTCTTGAAGGAAATTTGCAACCCAACAACCAGGCAGATCTTGTCGATGTTTAACTAGGTTGTATGTCCCAGACTGTTCTACACAATGCTTAGTCAGTGAGAAAAAAAACTTTAAAATGTTTGTATGTTGAACTTTTAGCGCGCCGTATGTAGCCAACCGTGCTAATTGGAGATGTGGGGGAAGGATAACAAACTTAACACAATTAAGTTCTAAAGTGCTTAACTCCAGTAGCTTCCTGATGTCGGAAGGAAGAGCGTTCCAGACGGCCGCAGAAGCGCGTCTGGAATCGCGTGAAAAAACTGACTTTAGTAAAGTCGCTGTGGTTGTGACTGCCTTTTTAATGTCACTAGAACAATAATGGAACGTGGCTTCAAAGATTTGTGTTCATTATTTACATTTATACGATGCGTTTCCTGACACTTGACCGTGTGCCCTCGCTTGTACGATGGTGGTGAAGCAGATCCCAACCAGGCGACGGTTGGGCAGAATGGTCAAGTGGACTATACGAAGGCATGGGAGGAGTACTACAAGTCTATCGGTGAGCACGTCTCTCTGCACCGAGGACACAAGCTCTACAGACACGAGGAAGAATATGCGCATGACTTTTGAACACGCTTTCGACATATCTTTGTTCCCGATCTCGGAAGCGAATCCGAGTTGAGTTTTAGGTGGTGCGTGGATGGGCGACCATGCTTAATACAGACTGTTGTAAGCTGCTGCTGGGCTCCGTTGTGGAACAGCATGGCAGTGCAGCAACAAAAATCGTGTTGTGCTGTCATTCTATACTCCCACTCCTATGCTCTTCTCCTTGACTTAATCCACACTGACAAGCGTGGTTCAGTATGATTAAGTAACCCCCATGACCTGTAGAGGATGGGTAAGCCCTCATCTAGCAGTAGATTGAGTAAAGTGCATCACTGTGGTACAGCGGGGAGACAAAACGCAGTTGAGTATTCAGTCATTGCTTCATAAAGGTAACGTATTAACATTCATTTTATTTGTCTGCAAGCCAGGCTGCAGTCGACTGTCTACTAACTGCACTTAACAGTCATTAATTTGCCAAATTCACTTTAATATAGAGAGGACTGCAGAGCTTGGACAATTGCAGGTAGTGCCTCCGAATTGCTTGGCTGCCTTGCACCTTTTGTGGTTCCTCGTGCCTCCGAGTCAATTTTCTCCCATCGTCGAGAGCGAGTGAATGCTTGTGCGCGTTACAAGTTTTTTATTCTTATTCTCTGTGCCAATAGGCCAGCAGCCTGGACAGCCTGCCGGCGCTCAGCCTGACTACACCAAAGCCTGGGAGGCTTACTACAAGAGCCAAGGTGAGTGGGTTGTGGCAGGTGCACCCACCAAAGTCTCGCGCAAAGAGCGATCATTTTAACCTTCAACAGAGACCGTTGGGGCCAGTGCTGTTGGCGAGCACCGATGAAGGCCCGGGTGTTTGTTGGTCCAGGGCTTTACTTTTTGCAGGTTATTGCTTGAATGTTTCGGCCCGGTCACGAGCACGAAATTTGTGGCTAACCGATCGGGGGAAACAGCGTTATGTACGCAGAGTGCAGAGCCACTTTGAGCCATTGGCCAATAACAATAACGATGAGAATGCGGAGTTTGAATCCAGACAGTTGCGAACCAAATCTCGTAACTTGATACTCTGTCGTATAGCTAAATTCCTGCGGTAAGAATAAATGGTTGGATTCACTGCAGTGAGACAAATGTTATTGTCATTATCCATATTTGTTTTTGAGCTTGGCCCATGTGGTAGTTTTATGCCAAAATCGTCATTAACCCTCGGTAAAAAATAATTTTAACACGGGGGGCCTAACTCACTGCAGTAAATCAAGACCCATGCAAAATTTAAATCTCTGGTTTGCCCCATAGGCTGTTGGCCACGGGTCACTTTTTTAAGGGGGTTCTCAGAGGTAGATCAGCGATTTCCGCTTCTGGGGCCGTTCTCTCACCATGAAGCGTTGCTCTACGCCGAGTTTTTTTCCAAGTGGCCAGTTCATCTCATTTCACGATTGCTACAGCACAATCGGGGGTACCATTGGGGAGAGGGGGTGGGAATGGGAATGGGAAGGACCAATTTATAGTTTTTAAACGTGCCCGTTTGTCGTTTTCTTCTTCCCATACAACCGTGCCGGCGTGCAGCCAGTGCCCAGGCGGCCGTGAGCGGAGGCGGCGACGCGGCGGCCCAACAGGCCGCGGTGGCAGGTGCGGTGGGGCAGGCCGGCCACGCCGACCCTCAGTCCACCGACAGCCAGTGGGCCGAGTACTACCGGCAGCAGATGTCCTACTACAACCAGACCGCCGTGCCCTCTCCACCGGGCGCCCCGGGGATGCAGCAGCAGCAGCAGCAGCCGCCGCAGCCTCCGCAGCAGCAGCAGCCGCCCGGAGCGCAGCCTCAGCAGGGACAGATGCAGCAGGGGCAGCGCCAGGGGATGGGAAGACCTCCGCCACCCCCAGGGCACTCTCACTCTACCCCGTGAGCAAGCCAGGTCTGTCTGTGTACGTCTAACGTACATGCGTGTGTGTGGCGTGTGTTTTCTGCGTGTGTTGTTTGCCCGGTTGTTTTGTGTGTATCTGTTGCGCGTGTGCTTTCGAGCGGCCTTGCTCGCCCGTCGTTTAAAACAAAAATTGAAACATTGATCGCCGTATATTCTGAGGTTTTTTTTCCCCGCTCCGTATGTTTGGGTTTTTCTATCTTAAAATCAATTTTAAGTCTTGAATTGAAGTACGCGGACGGTAATGCTGCGCTGTTGTTCGGTTTGTTGCCAATGTTCTGTTGAGCGATGCTGTTGTGCCGATTTTATCCGTCGTCCCAACAAATTTCGCGCCAGACTTTTTGCATAACCCCACCCCCCCCCTCCCCCTTCATTGACGATTTCTTTTACACCCCCCTCCCCATCCCTTTGTTTGCCAAAAACATCTTAACAAATTTATGACTCGTATAAAGTTGTGTTTTTTTTCCCCCCCAGACCTTTCAGCGGTGGAAGATGCTTGTTTGTGAGACATCACAAACGTACTCACATGCGACCTCTCTCTCTTCTTCGCGTGCCACGTGGCACTTAACGCCGTGTCATCTTCATCGTCGTCCTCTATTCTCTTCCCCCTCGCTCTCTCTCCATCCTCCCCCGCCCCTCCCCGTGTGTGCATTTTAGCCGCGCGTGCCCTTCCGTCCGGAGGAGCCCCACCTTGTCGATGTGCCAAAGCCAGCCGCCCGATTTAACGCAGCTGTTGTGTGTTTCTGTCTCTGCATTTGTTTCCCCACAGGCCCTGGTAATTTGGTGGCCCCCCCCACACTGTGCTGGGACATGCGGAAGTGTAAAACGTTTGTGGGTGCTCACTTGATGTCATCTTGATGAAGATAAAAAAAACCGTACTGCAATGTGTAGCGTGTGAATGCTGCGCGACAAAAGGAAAGAAACGCAATGACTGCAGTCCCCAACTTCTTTAATCCCGTCGAATATTAACTCGACGTCACGTTTGAGAACTTCCATAACTTGAGTTCTATTTCTTGTCGCTCTTATGCTTGTTGTAGTCCAAATTTTAAGGTAGTTGTGTAGCGTAAACCTCAAATCTCGACGTATTCCATGGAAACAAATGTGGTCGGATTAAAGAAGCGTGACTGTAATTACTCTGGGTGGGTGGGTGGGGGTTAGGGTCAACTATTATGTACAAACAAGTAATTTCTGGGTACTCAACTTTTCTGTAGGCAGTAGTCGTGAAGGTGAAATCTTTGCCGAAAAAAAGTAATGTTCCTAAATGGTGTTTGAAGATGCTGGGGGGGGAGGGTGGTGGAGGGGAGGAGGAGGAGGCGGCAGTTGTGTCAAGTTTCCGCGCGTGCTCCGAGGCCTGTGTGTGATTGAGTTTTCCAGCTGTGAATGATGACGTTATTTGGTTGGTGGGCTTGACGTCAACTTTTTTTATTTTATCCGTAAGGAGTTTAGAATTTATAGATGGGGTCCGCTCGCTTGGTCGGGTTTTTTTTGTTTGTAGTGTGAGGTTTTTGTAATTCGATTAAAAATGTTGTCCATCTAGTCCTCTTGTTCCCCCTCCCCCACACACGTGGTGCACGGAGGAAGCAGCGTAACCTCCGAGCCAACGATTAGAAAGTCGTAACGTCTTGCGCGTCGGCGCCCGCCTTGGCCCACGCCCGTGTGTTCACTTTCCCCGCAGCGCTAACTTCTGCTGCAGAGACGGCCCCGCTGAAATTGGGGGTGGGGGGGGCGGAATCTCTCCCGGAAGTGGTAGCTTCGTTACGCGGTTATATACCCAGAATCCCTCGTGTGTTGCTCCTCTGCGGCAGCAGCAGAAGTAAAAAAACACAAGCATTGCTACTTAGCTTTGTTTGAATTCATATTTTGCTTCCTGTTTTATATTTTTTTAATTTGAAATTTAAACGGCCAATCTTGTAAAATTGTCTTTCGTCTGAGTTTCTTACACCCCTGTGCTGTGCAGTTGAGAGGGAATGGAGGAATTCAGTACCAAATTGTCTGCGGGGAAAGCGGTTAGTTGGTTGTTGTTGTTTTAGGACACCGGCGATTGTTAAAGCCTTGTTGTAACAAACTTTGCAGCGAGGGCAGCAAGTGCAGAAATGTAAAAGTTTGGTTGGCAAAAATTTCACCTTTACCCTGTGAAAATGTTAAACTTAGAATTTTTTTTCATTTCTAACCCGTAGCCGAAAGCCTGCGTAAATAGATTTAAATAAACGTACGTGAAGTAACGTTCGGTTAAAACAACTGGTTTTGATGGTAATGGTGATGTAGAAGGCTTTTTTTTCAACTTGTGTATGCTTCAATGTGTTTAACAAAACTGTTTTTGAAGATGCTCATAATTAAAAGAAATGGCAGAGGTGTTGCATATGTTTCACTGATGCTGTGATGTCACACAAATTGCTTGTTGCTACTCATTTTGTGCTGCCCTGATATGTACTGGTCAAGGTTGTTTGCGATTAAAGGTTGTCATGTTCTGTTTTATTTTATTTTTCCTCCTGACATTTTCTGCGAAAAGAAAGTGGGCAGGGGAGGGTAAGTGTGCGGTGGGGATGTGAAGGCTGCGTTCTCTTCTCCCCCCCCCCCCCCCCCACGTGCCCTCTGTCCCCTGTCGAACAGAAAAACCATCAATGCCGCGCCTCGCGTTTGTTAGAGAAGACAAAAACGTGTACACAGACGCCTCGTGGAGCCCCCCCCCCCCAGTGCCCGTTGCGTAAGCGCCTGTCTGTGGTGTGGTGTGCGTGCTTCGTTGTGAACTCTGCTGTGTGCCCCCTTGTCACTTTGCCTGGTAGGGGGATGGGGGATGGGGGGCGGTTGGTTGGTTCACAAAGATCCTATGTTACCATGCGTAACGTTCGAGCAGGTAAGAACCGCAGCGGGCAAGTGCGTACGTACGAATGCGAGGACTACCGTATTCTCCGGATTATGACGCTTCTTTCCCCCCCCCCCTGTAATTTACAAAGCAAAAGTGGCGGAGCTGCTGGGGGGGGTGGGTGGGGGGGGTGTGGATCTTATCATTCGGTAGGTGTGCGTGTGTCACCACACCTGTGTGGCTTGATTGTCACCTTCACCTTTTTAAAGCAAAAGTTGGGAGATGCTTGTCATCCGATAGGTGTCCCGTTTGCATGCCAGACCAGATTCGTATAACCTCGTTGATGCCGGGCGCAGGTTTTTGTGGGGGGGGGGGGGGGGGGGGCGGTGGTGCGTCTTACTTTCCAGAGCGTCTTATAATCCGGAAAATACGGTAACTGATGGGTGGGGATGGAGAACGGGAGACATAGGGCGGACGCGTTGGCTCGTTGCTTTGCGATCAGTTCCCGCTAGCGCAGTGTTGTGTTGTCTTGCCCGTGTCAGATGCAGCCCCCCCCCCCCCTCCCAGCTAGTGATCGGACACTCGCCACCCTTCGTGGCGTAACGCGTCGTTGAGCAGTGGCCTACGATGGTAGGCCTTGGGTGCATCCTATATTGGCATTGTGCTGTGCCTGCCGGACTGCTGCTGTTTGTCGGTTGTGCGCGCGTGTGTTGTGCTCGCCTGCTCTGTTGGCTGTTATCTAGTGCGTGTCTTCTAGAACGCAGCGCACCAGGACCCATCCCCGCGCATCCCCCTACTACTACTACAGACTATTTAGAGGCGCCCGGAATAAGCTGCCCGCATCCCCCGCGCTGGCCGACGCAGGCAAAGTATTTGATTCCCCACCTCTGCCCTGTGCTCTGCCCGAATCTTGCGATGAGTTGTCTTGCCTGTCGCGTTCCTTGCTCAAAAAAACTAAGATGTCATGGGTTAATTATGGGACGAACATGTAGGCAGGTGTGTCTGTGTGTTTCTGTGTTTGCACGTGTGGATATATGGTACGCGAAGGTGTGTAGTGGTTAGCGCACTGCTACGAACCTATGTGTACGTTGGCATGTATGTTTGTTTGAAAGCACTGTATTTGAATCCCCTTGTGCCCTGCCCAAATCTTGCGATGAGTTGTCTTGCCTGTGTGTTGCCAACAGTGTCCGTCGGGGTTAATTTTGGGATAAATGCAGTTGATGGGGGTGTGCGTGCGTATACATGTGTGCGTTTTCGGAAGTGGTGGTCTGATAGTTGCCGCAGTGCGCTAAGGTGGTGCGCGTGCGTGTATATTCATGTATGCGTGTTGCGAGCGGTGGTGCAGTGAGGTCAGTACACTCCGCCAAAAAACTGGAGGCCGGAGTTTGATTCACCAGCTACAGCTAACATCAGTGGTGAGTTGTATCAAACAGCTTCCGGGGCCGTACCTAGGTCGACAGTGTGAGCCGCATTAGGAAGACAACGTTGCCATACCATGCCCTCGTTCATCCACCTTGTTGGCCTAGATAAGTGTTCGCCAACATCACTTGCCCCAGCGGTCTTGTGAAGGACTATGCGTGTGTCTGTGTGCTTGTCCTTGTGCACGCGTCTCTCCACATCAAGTTGAATGCGTACATCTCAAAATCATGCCGTACGATTGTCGCACTCGTGTTTTTGTTTAGTCGACACGATGAACTTGCGAATGGCGAGGAGCGGGTAGCGATATTGACGGGTCACTCGACCTGTCGAGTTTTGTTTGGTGTACATTGTATCTGCCATGTACATGCATTTACATGTTGCTCTGCTGCAATGTTTGACAACAGCCGGTCCTGTGACTGTTTTGTGTTTCTGTTCTGAGATATTCTGGAGCCCCGTGAGAAGCTGACCTCCAGCCCCACGATGGGAATACAGCTCGCGTGCATTCGTGCAGAGGCGTGTTTAATTAGCTATGCCCTTTAATTAGCCTCTTGTTAGTTTTCTGACCAGTCTGATAGAAACGTGGTCAGACTTGCTTTGCCCACTGGGCTTGCAAGTTAACCAAGATATGGCAATTTGAGCAAGTGGGGCTAATGAAACCCAACTGTGTGCTGAACTTGTATATGTGTGGTTGGTCATCTCTGGGTGCTGCAGTTTCCTTCCGCCAATTAAAATTGACTTTGACCTAACATCGCAATGTAGCAGGGACCCTCTAGCAGAAGAGGTCATGAGACCCCGGTGAGACTTCACAGTTAAAATAACAATTTTGTTCCAGTATAAATGTCTTGCTTAACAACTGACCCGGTTAAATAAAGGACACCATTGTGTTATTTAGCGTGCATATGTGCTCTACCATTAGCGTGTAACAATTGTTTGCCCATGCATTGGTATGCTCTGCCACTCTTGCTTGAGGGTGTCCACTGATGCCAGTGTTTGTGACTGTGTTGTCCGGCCATCTCAGTGCGTTAACCCAAGACGTCATGTGGGTCTGAGCTGCTGACAGGAAGCCTTGCCGACGCATCATGGGGCCTCAAAGTGACGCGCACGTGTACCTAGCCTGGCACAAAGCGCTGTGGTGACCTTGCTTTCACTTGATGGCAAACTGGCTAACATGTTGGTAGCTAACGGCGCTTGCCCCGAACATTTAGCAAAATGCTTTAAGGCGGAAGGGGCGGTTATCTTTGTTGTGTTGAAACAAAGTTCCAAACGGTCTTTGTGGCTTTATGCACAGAAGAGGGTGTGTTGTGCTGTGTATTTTCTGCAAACGCTTTGTCTATTATTAGTTAGTCTTGCCTGTTTAGGCATATGATGATTCACACCACTTGCATGTGATGATTGTCCTGATTCACTTCCAGAATCGGTACTGTTTTGCTCAGCCTGTACCGTCATCTGTCGGTCTCGTTTGTTCCGCCCGTCTTTCTTTGTACATCCTTGACTTTCTGCTGTTTCTTTCGTACTGCCTGACTATCTGCTGTCTCGTTCTCATTGCCTAGTCCATAGAGTCAGGAATACCGTGTCTCATTCTGCCCTGTTAGTACTGCCGTGTTGTTTGTCTTCTCGTTCGTATTATTTAGAATTCAGTCTCGTCTGCATTGACGCGTGTGTACTGCCGGTCATTTGTGCTGTCACCGTGTCTTTGTATTGTCCCAACTGCGATCTCGTTCCGTTTCGATTCTATCTTCTCTGTACGGTCGTGTCTGTACTGCCTCGTTCCGTTTTTCTTCAGTCATCCATCTGCCTGCCTCGATCCACCTCTCCTCCGCCCTATCATTTGTACCGCCGATCTCGTGTGCCCGCTGCCTCATTTGTCGTGTCCCATCTGTGCTGTCTGTCCTGCCCATCTCTGTCTGGTCCACGTGATCGTTGTTTGAAGGGTCGGCACTTGCGTAAGAGAGCATCACGAGTCTTCGATTGTTTAACACGCACCGAGCCGGAGCTCTGGATTATCGCGACCGCCGCAAGAGCCGATTCTCTTAATCATTTCATCGTCTTGTTGTGTCCGACTGTGTGTTTGCTGTCAGTGAAGTAGGAAATACTCTATACCAGTTCTGTCTCTCAAGACTTGGCCGTGCGCTTAGAGTTTGTTTGAGCGAGAGTGTGTCGACTGTAGGTGGGAGATGTCCCTTGAGGACCAGTTGACGTGGGGGACCCGATCGGTCGCGTTTAGGAAAAACAAAAAAATATCCGAAAGCTAAAAGGTAAGTGGTGTCGTAGGGGTTTGCGCCGGGGAAAGAGGGACCACATCTCCTCCTCCTGCCTCTGTCTGCCTGTGCTCGGTCTGTGCAGAGTAAGGCTGAGTGGCTTGCGTTGTTGTTGGCATTGAATGTGTGTCAGATGAGTCTTGGTAACAATTGCAGACGGCCGTGAATGGTAGACATCTCGGGCGCTTAACAAATGTAAAGAATCGTTTAGTATTTTGTGATGAATAAAGGAGGGTTTTTTTTTTAGCATTTTCCGCTTCAAATCAATGTATATTTTCAGCGCACGACAGTTGCATAGCATCTGTGCCGCTCAACGCATCCACACCTCGTGGCCCACAAATTGATTTGCCCTTGGACCATTAGGAGGCTTGTGTTCCCAAAAGGCACACGCACACCTGCGCATTCGCTTTCGAGGGTACATTCTGAATCTTGAAAACCGTTAACAAAACGTTGGGAATGTGGACTTTAATTGGTAATCGAGTTGTTGGTAACAAACACTGAATTACAATATATACAAGGTTGACATTTCAATAGGTGTTAAAGATTTACCACCCCCATCCCAGGGATTCAATGAGCTGTCGTCTTTAGAGGTCGTGCTTCAACGATTGTATTTTTGTCTCGGTGGTGCTGTGTTCATAGCTCTCCTTAAATTGTCTAATCACGTAGTGTCATCTGGGCTCTTTCGGTAAAGTCACGTAGAAGGGAAATAATACAAATGAAACAAAATTTAATTCTCACGACGTTTCGGCCACAACGCAAGCAGCAGTCGGGTGAAGAACAGGGTTGTCGGAAAGACGGCGTCCGAATGAACACCACCAAGCTTGGCAGCGTATATTTAAGCTGGGTTAGAGGAGAGGAGAGCGCCTTGACAAAGTAATTTACATCAACAGATGAATTTAGCATATTTATGGAAAATGCAGATATTGGATTAGTCACTACTTGTGGAATGTGTAGGTGGTGGGGGGGGGGGGGTCTCAAGTCATATTATGTCCGTGTATTATGTAGGATTAGCAGTCAAAGGGAGGAAGTGGGATTAGCAGTAATAAAGGGAGGGAAATTTTAATAGTAAGGAGCTGCAGCAAATGTGTCAGTTCTACAGTTGCCACGTGGAGCACAACTCTTGATGTAGAGCGGGGGTGGGGGTGCGAGTGAGTAATTAAATTCTGGTGCGTGAACGAGTGAGCTTTTGTTTGCTTTACTAATTGTGGGTGATGGTTGTGATGCAGACTGCGCAAAAGCGTTGGGCTCTCTGGTCCGCCTGTTGTGACGGCAATTGCCGTAGCGACCGTCTCGCGAGAGCCGTTAAAGTTTTTTTTGGGCACCAGCTACACAACTTTTGAAGACCTTTTTCTCCCGGTCTCGTCTTCCGAGATAACCTTTGGCCACTTTGGTAACATGAGCGCGGAACCCTTGGCTGCTGCTTTGCAAAGTGGTGAAAGAAAAATCAAAACATTTCTCTTTGATTCACACCGCCGCTGTCAGGTTTTGAGCCGAGCTGCGTTTCGCAGGGGGTCGCGTGTGTTTTTGCTCTAGTATTCCGTGAATAATAAAAAAGTTGTGGAAACTTGGCGTCTCTTACGAGTCTTCTTGGCTGTGAACCTACGGGCACGCCTTGCGTTAATCTCGATGCGTCACGTGTACGTTCGGTTGTAATCTGCAGCTCCCCCTTTTAGTCGCCGGCATTGCTTAGACGAGACTGGGAAACCCGCTGTAGGACATTTCACTTTCCCAGCCATTGGATGACGAGTCAACGGGCGGTGATGGCTCCCACCTCGAATCCAACACTGGAGACGAGGGTTGGTGAATCGCACTAATGTTGCAAAACTCCCCGTGGTCTTCGTGGTTGCCATGTATGCTGAACTTTCGCGCACCGTACGTAAGCCAACCGCGTTCATCGGCGGTGCGGGAGAAGGAATAACTGAACACAAACATCTTGGTTCTTTCGGTAAAGTCACGTAGAATGGAAATAATAAAACTAATTCTCACGACGTTTCGGCCCCAACGCAAGCAGCCATCAGGTGAACAGGTCTGTCGGAAAGACAGCGTCTGAATGAGTTCAGACGCTGTCTTTCTGACATACCTGTTCTTCACCTGAGGACGGCTGTTTGCGTTGTGACCGAAACGTCGTGAGAATAATGTTTTTTTTATTTTATTACTTCCCTTCTACGTGACTTTACCGAAAGAACCAAGAAGATGAATCCCTGCAATCACGAAAGCTTTAAATCGAAATGAACACAACAGTTCTACAGAAATGTGTTTTCAAGCCATAACCCTGGATTTCTAGAAGGCAGCTCTGTACTGCAAAATGCGGATTCGTTTCCGTTACATTTGGATGGGATAGAGTATACCCCCTCGCACGCGTGGGTTTTCTCCAGACGCTTGTTTTCTCCCACGTGTAAATACCCGTGAATTGGTAAAAACCAAACTATCTTCATGTACAGAGGACTGCAGACTTTGGTCAGTTTGTGCCAGTTCACTACCGTGCTGTATTCCATCATGTTTGGTTTCTCAGCGTTAGCGAGAGCTGTTTGCATGAACGACATTTGTGTACGCAACCTATGCACTCGACACGTGCTTTGAAGAAAGGGCCATTGCCCGAAACGTTGGCGACTTTTTTTTTTAGTCCGTGTGAAATGCGTTGCTTGTGCACCACTGCCAACTGCATCATTAATGCGTTTACAAATAAACTAAACTAAGAAACACTTCAATGCACACGGAGACATCGTTGTTGGGAGCTGTGAAATAAAGCAGGAATCCCATGGGCAGTCGTCTCACACCAACCCCCTTTTCCCCTCTGGAAGATGTAAGGCGGATCAATACATTTCGTTGTGAAAGTCAAAGATCTTCTCAAGAATTGTGGTCTTGTCAATAACAACTTGTGTGCGAGTCACTTCCACGAGTCGTCTTCCGTTGGATCGCTTCATCTTGGTCTTGCACCCCGTCCGTGAAATGTCTTCCCAAAGGGGTCACGTGCGTAAGGAATAATTTACGATGAGTCGTGGTGTCGCTGCAAGCATCTTCCAGAAGTTGCTTCTGATATCCGTTTTGTACAAAATGGTAAATAAAAAAACACGACCGAATTGTCTTTTAAATCCTTTATATTAAGTTCGCTTGCTTGCTTGCGTGCTTGCTTGCTTACGACCGTGCAAATCTTTCGGTCGTTTTTTAACCCACTTCCCGTGATCCAATCGAGCTGATATTTTGCACACAAACTCGTTGTGCGAGACAATGTTCGTGAAATTTTTTTCCCAAAATTTTACACTGTTTAGGGAAAACAAATTAAATATTGCAGCCATCTCAAGCCAGAGGACAAGAGGACTCTCGCCGCCACGCATATAAAGGATTTATAGTGAAAAACTTTGTTTTTACGGGTTATACTTGTTAAATCCTTTATATTAAGTTCGCTTGCTTGCTTAGGACCGTGCAAATCTTTCGGTCGTTTTTTAACCCACTTCCCGTGATCCAATCGAACTGACATTTTGCACACACTCGTTGTGCGTGACAATTAATTTTCTTGAAAAAAAACATTTCCAAAATTTTACACTGTTTAGGGAATTTTTAAAAAATATTTAATTACCAATTGCTTAATGGTGGCAGACAATCATCTGACCCATAGGTGGCAGCCATCTCAAGCAAGAGGACGAGAGGACTCGAGCCGCCACGCATATAAAGGATTTAGAGTGAAAAACTTTGTTTTTATGGGTTAATTTTTTTACAAGTTGAAAGTATTTCGCGAATACACGTCTGGGCTGGAGGCTGGTGGGGGGAGTGGTGGGATGACAACACCAGACTTCCGATTAGCACCGCACGCAGCCAAACCGTGCTAAGGAATCTGGTACAACGCTGGAGGAATGGGGTGAAATCACGCAGACGTCACCCGCCAGGAAGGCAGCCAGCCAGCAAAACTTAACAAAAATACATGTTGGAACGACGAGCACTGGTTGAGTTATTAGCACTAGTGCAAAAGATAATGAACTCTAATCTATTTCTCGAGTTTTATTTTTGCAGTAAAAAATATAATTGTTTTTTTGCCCTTCTATCTGGCAACAAAACTGACACCTTTTTTACAAGGAGGCATGTTTACATAGACCACAATACCTGCAGTCATAATGCAAACAAAAAAACACAACTCTGATAATGTATGCACTGTCCTGTGAAGTTGATTGGTCCACACCCGAGACAGCTTTCCTTAGAGCCTAGTCTCACCTGCAGTCATAATGTTTGCATTATGACTGCAGGTATTGTGGTCTTTGTAAACATGACTCCTTGTAAAAAAAGGTGTCGGTTTTGTTGCCAGATAGAAGGGTAAAAAAACTATTATCATTTTTACTGGCAAATGAGGTTCCAATGGTGAGAGTTCAGTTGTGAATGCAAAGCAACAACGTGATCGGGCGAGACACGGGCCAAGCCACCGCGCCTGATCGGGAGAGTGGAGCGCGGCTGGCGGTGAGAGTGCAACGGTGGAAGGCCCCGGGGTGGAAGGTCCCCAGGATGGAAGGTCCCCAGGGTGCACGTGCTTCAAGTGTCCCGGGGCCTGTGGTTGAAGTGCACACACATTGAAGCTGCAGATTCCTGTCGAAGTCATCACGGGCCAACGTGCGGTGCGCTTTTCCTTGTGCCGCACAAGAGCATTGGAGAGATCACTGTTCAAATAAATGCTGAGCCACTCGACTGGATTCAACTCCACGGTGTGGCAGTGCGACACACGGGAAATCGACTGCACGGGTTTCGAGACAACCCACTCCGCTCCGACTCCACGCACCTTCATAGGTGCTCGCTGACACCAGATGTTGCCCGGCATCATTGTTTAAAGGCTACGCGGGTGGGGGTGGATGGAGGGCGCTTTGTGAGCGGTAATTATAAGGCAGTCGGGCGTCTTCTGAGCGCTTAGCGCTCCGTGATAGCATCGAGCCTCTAAGGGTGTTCAGCGCCTCGGCTGACGAGATCAGAATTATCTCAATTAAACTTCAACAGCACGCCCTCCCCAAGGCTTTGTTTGTCCAGGTGCTGATCTATGCGCCTCCTAATGATGTGTTTAAGGAAGCTCCGCTGAGATCTTTCCCGACAACTCGCGCCACGCAGTGTCCTCGGGGTTAGGGTTGAGTGGTTGGTGGTGGTTGTCGTTAGAGGGGAGATAGCTGGAGGTCGATGTTTTTTTAATTCTTTACCAATTGCTTTCGCGCAATTGTCTCATCCGTGTCGTGTCATCGGATGAAATAAAAGTGTCTGGATCTCGAGTAATAAAC